AGTAATTATAAAATAATTTCTTTGTGTTTATTTGATTTCTTTTGTGTTTGTGTTTATTTGATTTCTTTTGTGTTTATTTTGATAATAAGTAAACAGAAATATGAACAATTATAAAATAAAGTATTATTTCATAATAAAGTAATTATAAAATAATTTCTTTGTGTTTATTTGATTCCTATTCAAGAGAATTACTTTATATATAGTCAATATAGGCACAGAGTTAATTTTTTTAAACATTTTCTAATGGTGGTGTGCCTTGTGATTTTTTTTATGAAAAAAGTGTGCCTTTGCACAAAAAAGGTTGAAAAACACTGCATTAAACAACAAACCACGAGATGGTATAAACCCTCTCTGGTTTCAGAACCATGTGCCACCAGAACCTCTACATTAGTTCCCCCCAACCTGAAATTAGAGGTTCAAACTCTCAGTTGGTATCTGGAACTTAACACATTAGCAACTCACTCTTACCAAGGTAGCATGTGTGGAGAGCGTTTAGGCTACAAGATTTAGACTTGGAACTCAGGTACAACATCAGAGACCATTTAGAAACAAGAATAATTTTTATTCAATACAGAGCATAACACAGACTATCAGAGTTTGCCAAAATAACAAACCTAAGGCGATTTGCCTTAACTACACAGTAAAAGATACATATTTACCAAGTTCAGGAATATCCAACAGTCCAAGGGATTTTGAAGGAAAAATCCATCTTTGCACTCCATGTGCTTTAAGTCACAAAGCAGTCCTTTGTCTCTTCAAAGGACAGCATTTCCAGGTGCAATAAAACAAGTAGAGACAGCAGGAGCAGAGAGCAAGCACACAGCTCTCTCTCATTGGGATTGAACAATTATAGCCCAGTTCATTCATTATCAGCTGTGGCCATGCAGCCAATCACGAGTGGACATAGGCGTGTCCAATTGTTGTTTACCATAGCTGCAACACAGGAATGGCTAGAAGTTTGGAGACTCCTCCTGCAGTCAGGTGATCCAACTTCCAGCTACTTCATTTCATACGTGACTTGTCGCATGTGAGGCAGAGGCAGGGGCCATCAGGTCTGCCTCTTCCCTTAGAGGTGTGAAAGAATGTGTGGTTATATGGCATGGTTATAAAGTTTCAACAGGAAACAAGACACAGCATGTTATCAAAAGACAGAACAGGAGAAGGCAGGAGGCTTTTAGAAATCAATAATTCTATACAGTGCCTGCTTTAGGATCAGTTTTGGGAAGGGGGGGATCTCACATGATCTGGACCCAGTAGTGATTGCTGAGGTCATTTCCCCACGTTTCCTACCATTGCCCACAACAAACTCCCTGTGAGGTAAGTGGGGCTGAGAGAGCTCTCTCAAGAACTGCCCTTATGACTGACCCAAGGTCACACCTGCAGCTGCATGTGGAAGAGTGGGGATCAAACCTGATTCTCCAAGATTAGAGTCCACGCTCTTAACCACTACACCAAACTGGCTCAGGAACCAAACCAAATTCTGTTTTGCATCTAGAAAAGAATCTCCAGCCTCTTTTGTCCATTCCTGGGAACTCTATACAGTTTCCAAACTACATCATTCTAGCCTATTAGTCCCATCAATTCTTTGTTCTGAGGGATCCCTTGCATCAGCAAGCCCTCTGGACACATTTTTGGGTATAAGTAGCCCAGCACAGCCCCAGTCTCTGTGTGTCTGCCTTGGGTGCCTACTGGCAGGTCAC